AGATGGGGTCTCACCAGGGCAGAGTAGAGGGGAAGGAGGACCTCTCTCGATCTACTAACCACCCCCCTTCTAATACACCCCAGGATGCCATTGGCCTTCTTGGCCACAAGGGCACAGTGTTGGCTCATGGTCATCCTGTCGTCCACTAGGACCCCCAGGTCCCTCTCCCCTACACTGCTCTCTAACAGGTTGTTCCCCAACCTATACTGGAACCTGGGGTTGTTCCTGCCCAGATGCAGGACTCTACACTTTCCCTTGTTACATTTCATCAAGTTATTCCCTGCCCAACTCTCCAGCCTGTCCAGGTCTCGCTGGATGGCAGCACAGCCTTCTGGTGTGTCAGCCACTCCTCCCAGCTTAGTGTCATCAGCAAACTTGCTGATAGTACACTCAATTCCCTCATCTAAATCATTGATGAATATATTAAATAATACCGGTCCCAGTACTGACCCTTGAGGCACGCCACTAGTTACAGGCCTCCAACTAAACTCCGCCCCATAGACTACAACTCTCTGGCTTCTCTCCTTCAGCCAGTTCGCAGTCCACCTCACTACCTGATCATCCAGACCACACTTCCTCAATTTAGCTGTGAGGATGCTGTGAGAGACTGTGTCAAATGCTTTGCTGAAGTCAAGGTAGACCACATCCACTGCTCTGCCATTATCCATCCACCATGTTATTTCCTCAAAAGGTTAAGAGATTGGTCAAACATGATTTCCCCTTGGTGAAGCCATGTTGACTGCCCCTCATAACCCTCTTATCCTTGATATGCCTTAAGATGGCACCAAGGATAAGGTGTTCCATCACTTTCCCAGGGATGGAGGTGAGGCTGACCGGTCTATAGTTACCCAGGTTCTCCTTCTTGCCCTTTTTGAAGACTGGAGTGACATTTGCTTTCCTCCAGTCCTCAGGCACCTCTCCCGTTTCCCAAGACTTGGTAAAGATGATGGAGAGTGGTCTAGCAATGACTTCTGCCAGTTCCCTCAGCACCAGCGTGTGCATCCCATCTGGACCCATGGATTTATGGATGTCCAGATTGCTCAACTGGTCTCTAACCCATTCCTCATCGACTAAGGCAAACCGCTCCATTGACCTGACTTCATCTAAGGTCTCAGGGGTACAGGGCTCTTCAGGACTGCCTGCAGCAGAGTAGACAGAGACAAGGCATTCAGTAACTCTGCCATCTCTGTATCTTCTGTCACCAGGGCACCCATCCCATTCATCAGTGGGCCTACATTGCCTCTGGTGTTAGTTTTATCTGCCATGTATTTGAAAAAGCTCTTTTTGCTGTCCTTGACCCTTCTTGCGAGGTTTAATTCTAAGGATGCCTTAGTCATCCTAGCTGCCTTCCTACATCCTCTAGCAGCAGCCTTATATTCTCCCAAGTGGCCAGCCCCTCCTTCCATGACCTGTAAACTCTCCTCTTCCACTTGAGCATACCCAGCAATTCCCTATTTAGCCACGCAGGTCTCCTGGCCCTCTTCCTTGACTTCCTACGTGTCGGGATGCTCCGATCTTGAGCTTGGAAAAAGCAATCCCTGGTGGGATCAGGAGAACCAGACAAAGGTAAAAGCCCTGGATTAAGAACAATTTAATAATTAAAATAAAGCATAATAATAATTTTAATGAAAAGGAGGGAGAGAGGAATAAAGCCCAAGAACCACAAGTGCTGCACAGTATAATTGCTCACCACCTGCTGAGTTGGGGAGGGCAAGCAGCTCTTTGGCAATTGAGCTCAAGCAAACTTTGGTACTGCTGCTGGCAGTGGCTGGGGACTATCAGGGGTACTCCAGGAAATGGGCCCTTTGCCCCATCCGCTGAAAACTTGCAGTGAATGCAGCAAGAAGAGCAGGGGGAAGATGGATCCTGAGAAACCAACTGTTCATTGTGCTAGGTCATGTTGTACATGCCGGGTTTGTGCTTTAACATACTGTGCATCAGCATTCTTGAAAATACCTAGATTGCCACTAAAAGTAACAGCCCTTAAGCTTTTAGATCCATCAAATTACTATTGCAAGCCATAAGTAGTAGTTACTGCAGGATAGCTGACATTGGCTGCAATTAGAAACTATGCTTTAGTAATTCTCACTGCTTTTTTCTTTTAAAAAAATCCCCATACACACACAAGTCATATGCAGAATGTTACTGAACTCCCGGTGTAAAAAAAAAGAAGCCTGAGGCAGGGCAAGATTTCAGTGTGAATTGTCCTCTAGGTTTCTGAAATGTCTTGTGATGATAAACCTGTACCTGTGAACATGAGGCAGAAGATGCATTAATAGAAAATACTTAAAACTTTTTTCCCTTAGGATTATCTATTTAGAGTGCACACCACACACCATTGCTGCTTCTACCAAAGGCACTTGACAGGGCAGGAAGAAGGGTTGTTTTCTGTCGTAACAGGCTTCCTGCAGTGTCACCCACTGGTTATGTACATCACAAGCCTTTGATTAAAAACTTCCACTTTAAATATTCAGAGGGTTATTTTAGAGAGTTTGGGAACTTCTATTTTTAGTGATTTGAGATTACAGTAACTTTGTTAAAGCTGTCACTCGAATGTGGAATTTGCGGGTTCCAAACTGCTTTTGGTACTGTTCTTAGAAACCATCCCTATTCTCCAGGGTGCTAAATGGCTATACTATTCATATACTGTTCCTTCCCTCATTTGACCTCTTGTGGCTCTTCTGTTACTGCAACTAATCTTCCAGCATTTGGAGGTTTTGGTTACGTTCGGTACTATTCAGTATGCACTCAAAGAAGTTCTTGATTGATCTAAGTATGGTCCACTTCTAGCTTACCAGAGCCCCAAGAAGAGTTAAAGACCAGCATTTACAGCAGCATTAGTGTCTGGCAGATTTACCAAGTCACAGATTCTGACACTGATTAACCAGACCCACCTGGATCTGAAGCACTGACTGACCATATTTAATAAAAAAATTAAAAACAATTTTGAGCTTCATTAAGTTCTATGAGGCCACCGTATACAGCTGAGGGATCCAAGTATGCATTTCCAGAGGCTCCAAGCAGCAGCTACTTTCACTCAGTGCAGATAAAGTCTTTCACAGTACCAACCAAATAGCTAGGTGTGGACCACCATCATGAGGCTCTTTTAGCCCTAAATGGCACCAAAGAGGGCAGCTGCATATGAAGTGATTTAACACTGAACATGCTTAGTACAGTAATTTCTATCAATTTATTTTGTATATATAGACAGCTTTTTGTATGTATTTTTCTTAATTCCATTACTCATGAAATGTAACAAAGCTGCAAGTTGTAGTCATTTTTAATGCAGATTCAAACCAGTGTTTGGCTGTTTTCTGCAGAAATTACTTGAATCTTATTTAAATGAGGTAGTGAAGTCTGACTGTTTACAGGATTGTTTTCTTTGGTTTGGGTGTTTCCCATACCCTGTCCTAGGAAACAGCATGTGCTCAGCAGTCAGGCAGATGTGTTGGGGAATGAAGTGCTGGAATCACCTTTGTTGGCACCAAAGCATTAACAGCAATATGCAGATTTCCCTTCCCTTTACGTTGCTTAGCTGACAACTCTCGTGCTTAGCAAGTTCCTTTCTGATCAATTTACAGTCATCAAACTACCATGGAAAGAGGCAGCATCCCTGCTGTGACACCTGCCCCCTCTTTAACGTGGACAGCTGAAATGTCACTAGGTTCTCTCTGCAGTTATGGTTGTATTTGCCAACAAGGGTCTTTAACATTTGCACTACTCACAATGTCCCAACTGTTCTACTTCCATGTGCTTGTTTTTAATTGTGCTGCCTAAACTTGTCATGAGCTGTATTGAAATCTGAGGTGAAGTGTAAAATATCTATGTAATAACAGCACATTTTATTTTTTTATATGTTACAGATAGGACTAGTCCTATGCACAGAGAAAACATGTTGCCATTTATTACTTGAAATAACTTTTTAAAAGGGGCTTTTATAAATTAATTAAATACAAAATCACACTGCTTTGCCTGGAAGTTCCTTTATTTTTTAATCATATTGTGCAATTTCCCCATATGTATACTCTCCCACAAATGTCATCTTAAGCCATTTATAGCCACTAAAAGTGCATTCAAGATTTTGTACATCAGTGTTCAGACCTGTTCATATTTTTCCAAATTACAGTTTGTGTTGAAATAAAGAGTTGTACCATTTTAGGCCTCTTTTCCAATGTGATAAAACTGAATGGACTTGACACTTGAATTCACCAGTGAATGCAACATCAACTTAATAAAAGTATGTGAAAGAATCTGAAAATGGCTTAGCTGTAGCACGTGTGTGTTGGATCAGTGAGAAAACCTGCCTGGTGGAAGCATTTTGTAACCATACCGTTTTTTACACTCCAGCTGTAACAAATCTAAGATTACGCACTCCTGACTCCTTCAGGTCACTTGGTCTTGAGAGGGGAACTAAGAAACCTCTGGCTTGTGGCTTACTATGTCCTTCAGGATGCTAAACATGACCTAGAAGTCAGACTGCCACTCAAACAAAAATCAGCTGTGTTCCTTTTAGATCATAAATTATCTCTTAAGAGAGCAGTTAACACCCAAATTGACACTGACATGACAATGACACTGGCATTTAAATTCAACAATTCTTTCCAGAAAATTTAAAACTAGATGTTTTACAGTATTCCAGAAGCTCCAGCCTCATACACCTCTGTAATTCTAGTTCATCTTGGTCCTTGCATGCCTGATGAAGGCAGCACTATGTAACTATCATCAGTTGCCTCAGACATGTATTGATGTATACAGAAGTACCCCTTCAGAAAGGGAAGCAACCAGTAAGTGACCTGGTCAGTACCAGCAGATAATCCCTTTCAACAGGGCAGGTACGTTCTCCAAGCCTTCGAAAGGAAATTAATGAAGCTATAAATCTAGCTCACTGCACCTGGTAACTCATGCTGGTTTATGCAAAGCCCCTGAAGAACAGAAGGCAGGCAGATGGCAGAGTGCCATGGGAAGAGCTGTCTTTTCTGAAGAGGCAATAAGAAAACATACACTGTTCCACAAGCCTTGTTTTAATCTGAGATTTTGTACACCGCAGCAGAGGCTCATTTGCCAGCCACCCGTATTACACTGAATTACAAAGCTACCATAATAGGTACAGCATCAGATGCCACGGTAGCAAATAGTACATGCCAAACACAAATACGCTGTATTATTCAAGTTGTCCACTTTCTTGTCACATTTAAGTGGTTTAAGTCATCGCTGATATATCTGTGCTCAGGCAACTTGGCTCTCACCCGGCTTTTGAAAGCCTCCCATCTTGCACGTCTCTCTTCTGTGTTATGTTTGTACTCCTGTTCCTGCGTCAGGTAAGGTCGACTCAGCCAGTATTCATTCTCTGCTTCAATTTCCAACCTTTGGATCATTGCTTGCTTCATTGCAAGGGTAACCACTCTTGGTCGCCTGTACTTCCCAATCCATTGCTTTCCAGGAATTCTCTTTCGGAATAAGACCATTGTTAAAAACATTATGCCTGAAAATAAAAACAAAACCATAAAATACTACCTTAGGGACAAACATTAAAAATTTAACCAGAAAAATTTAAAACCCTGCACACACTCCACTGCTTTTAAACTGTTGTGAAGTGCAGAACCTGATACAACCATGTAGGCAGTACAATGGTGGAAATGCATACTGCATAAGACCAGAAAAGGGAAATGGAAATCTTTTATTTAGCTAAAGAGTTCACTCAGTTATCCTTACATTGACATCACAGAGATTAAAGCTTGTCCTCTATAAATTATTTATGAAAAACCCAGTCCCAGATACTATTAAACAAAGGATTCACTTCATTCCTTCTTTCTTCAAATAGCTGTGCTGCCAAAATAGGGAGCATTTCCAAGTCTATCTTCTAGATCCAGATCTGTCCTTCCCTCAGCATTAAATTTTGAGCTACAGTCCCTCCATAAACTTATTAGTAAACAATTACCTAGTCCTGTATTTTAATTATGGGAACTCGGGTTTGTAGAGAAAAAGTACTACTACTAAGTAGTACTCTATTAGACCAACTAGATGTAACAAAGAGGAAAGGCTAAGACACATTCAGATTTGACATACTGTCCTGGGTTCAGCAGTAGCAGTCATTTCTTCTCCTCCTTAGTAGCTGGTGCAGTGCTGTGTTTTTGACTTTCAGCCTGGGAATAGCACTGATAACACGGATGTTTTTAGTTGCTGCTCAAATGTTTAGTCTGAGCAAGGACTTTCTGAGTCTCATGCTCTGCCAGGGAGGAGGGGAAGCTGGGAGGAAGCAGAGACAGGACACCTGACCCAAACTAGCCAAAGGGGTATTCCACACCACAGCATGTCAGGCCCAAGATGTAAACTGGGAGTTACCCGGGCTAGTTCACTGCTCTGTCAGGCTGCATATTGACAAGGGATACTGTATTCTCTTCCCTTGTTATTTCCCTTATCATTATTATTATTGGTGGCAGCAGCAGTGATCTGTGTTATACCTTAGTTACTGGACTGTTCTTATCTCAACCCGTGGGAGTTACATTCTTCCGGTTCTCCTCCCCGTCCATCCGGGAACGGGGGGGGGGGGGGGAAGGGGGAGTGAGAGGGCTGCGTGGCTGACTTACAGCCTGGGTTTAAACAGCGACACACGCACACTCTTCATTAACCTATTAGTCCTGACGATGCCTAACTCCTGGGTCCCTCATCACACAGTATCTTTATCAACTAGTAAGTTTGCCAAGCACTTTAACACGGAACAAAACAGCACTACTGCCAGAAACGGCCACCCCGCCATACCCCATTCCCATGATGCAACCGCACGCTGATGTTCCGCTCTCTGCCCGGGTTTAGCAGCGGAGCTGCGGAACTTTACGGGGACTTTGCTGCCGCAGGCCCTAGTCCCCCTCCCAGCAACGCAGGGTGGACTTTCCCGTCCCCACAGCAGCGCCGGCTGCTCACCCTCAGGCCTGCGGCCGCTACAACCTCTACAGGGATCACAGGCCGAAGCGCGACAGGACACAGCACGGCTGCCCGCCGGGGCCCGCCCGGGCAGCTGGGCACCCACTAGATCCAGGCGGGGCTCGGCGCGCAAGGCTGCCTGCAGCTAAGGATCCTCTAAACACTCCCCACCGGGGCAGAGCCCGTTCGGGGCCAGGCCAGGCTGAGAGAGATGACAGCCAACCCGCCAAGAAGCACCCCGCGCCAGGGGCGAATGAGGCGCTCTGATTAACAGGTCTCTCTCCTCTCCTCTCGCCTCCCCTCCACCTCCACCTTCAGCTTCACTCACCCACTGCGGGGACGGCTCCAGCCCCGCGGCGGGAAGCAAGATGGAGACGGCGGGCTGCTGATCTCGCGAGAACTCGCTCGCTCGTGGCCTGACGGGGCCAATGGAGCACGCCCACCGCCGCCGATTTAAACCTGGCGGCGGGCAGTAACCGCCCGCCTCAGGAAGGAGCGTCCCAGGGGCAGTTCTCCGGCAGCCGCTCGCGGCTGTCCCCGCGGTTGGAGGCTGTGGCACTGACCCTTTAGCGCTCCTCTTTTCCGCAGACGATGGACTCGTCAAGGAACTTCTTCAGTAAACTGCGCACCGTGGCCGTCAGGCTCGAGAAGGAGGTGAAACAATTGGAGCAGGCTCTACATGGAGAGAACACGGGTAAGCGCAGGCCTTGCCTTCTCTCCGCGGTGGCACACACGGGAGCAGGGGTGATGGTTCTGCCGGGATCGCCCTGAGTGTGCGGGGTTGTTCTTTGGGGGCCCTTGGTTTGGGTTCCCCCTGTCCTTATACCTCCGTGCTCCTCTGAGCGTGTGAAGATTCACCTTTGGTGGGCTGATGGGTATCTTGGCTCACTCTAACACGTAACTCCAACATCTTCAATATAGGCGGTCACATTCTGATGTAGAACGTACTTGCGTGCTAAAATTCTAATATTCCTTTTTCCATTCTAAACCCTTTTATGTGAACATACATATCTAAGAATACGAAGATGTACCTCCAATGAAAGTCTTAGGTGATCTCCGCTGTGAAGTGAGTTCTCTGAAGGTAACACCTTAACTCGCTTCCTTCTCGAAAACTTGGGGAGTGGTGTTGTGTAAACTTACAGTTGTGTTTTGATTGACCTAAGATTTCTGTAATCTGCAGTTCTGACCCTTATTTTTGTACATTTACCTCTAAGTTTTCAAAATGGCTGTGGATGTCAGGTTAGTGCCCAAGAATTTGTGGATGACTTAAAGTAGATTTAGCAGTGTTTATTAGTTTGCAGTCACTTGGATCAGCAGGGGACAAAGGTAACAGGGTATAATGGGGTGCCAAGGCGTGTGTATAGGGGAGAAGGATTTAGGAGCAGCAGTTCGCTACAGAAGAGGTATGCCTGTGTTCAATGACTAGCACTTAGAATAAAGAAAGTCTTAATAGAAGTTTCAGTACTTTCAGCCATTCAGTTAAACTTGTGAAGAATTTTTTTAATAAAAGTAGGAAAGATGGGCTATAGAAATGAGCAAGTGTAGAAGTAATCTAGGACATAAACTTGAGTGCTATGCACTAATTCTTTGTATATGGGGAATAAGAGTCCAAACTAATTGCTGTTATCTCATATTTTATGAAGTAAAAGCATATACTTTCTTTTGAAAGGTTACCAGTAAATAGTTACCATACTATGAACTGACATCTTAGTTCAACTTTTGTAAGTTTTTGTACACTCATGCCCTATATATTCCTGATATTTTGTAACCTAATTTTTGGGTATATATAAGGTCTAAATTTGCTGCTTATCTTCATCTGAATTGAAGTTGAATACTTATTCCCAAAACATGTGTAAACACCTACCATGTGGCTATTCAAAAAACAATATTTTATGTTTCGTTTTGCCCCCAAAGGAAGCTTTTAATGCCAGTCTTCATAAGAGTTGTTCTAGAAAACAAGCAATTAATGAGTTTATGAAGGCAAGTGAAATATTGATGAAAAGAAATGAAGAAGATCTTGAAGAAATAAGAAAGCTGTTCCAGATGAATGGCTATAAAACACCTGTCAAAGGCTCTACAGGTAATGTATCTTGGCAATACAGTACATGAAGACAAATGTATGAAATATTTCTCTTTAGCTCTGTGTATATTTCTATTAATTAGAGATCCAAGTGCATCTATGCTATTTGCTATATAATAATATCCAGAGAGTGGAAGATTCTGTTGTGATTGATGCAAGTGGAATAAACCAAATAGAAAAACTTACATTTAGATCTCCTGGCATGCTTTTAAGTTAGTGTGTGTTGTGGTTTGATTGGGTTTTATTGTTTTGTTGGGGTATTTTTCCTTCAGTAGTAGTTATATTCAGAAAACATGGTAGCAAACATGTTTTTATAAACTGAAGAATTCTGCTGCTTCAGCTTCTCATGCATGGGAAACTGTTGTAGATGCATCTAAACTAATTCATATTCATATGTGATGATTCCGTTAACTAAGTCATCATTGGGAAAATCTTGAAATAATGTGCTCTACAGCACAAATGGGACAAGAGAAGCACATAGAAGGATCAGGTGACACATGGCAAGCAGTGGTAGCTTGATCATTTAGGGGAGGGAGATCATTAAGCCAGTCAGTACACAGAATCTCTGTGAAAAATCCAGATATGCTAGATGAGTTTAAAACACTAGAGCTGTCCTTACTACACACTGCTACCCATTTTGGTATCAAGGGCTCAATCAATCTTGTAGAAGCCACACCTTAACTAACTTTCCCCCAAGTGTTGGCCAGTCATATACACAGAACAAAATTGTGGTTGTGAACCATATTCGCCTCTAAGCTAAGCAACTTCAACTGTGTTTTATAAAGATATGGCAGAATGCTCTGATTTTATAGCACCTTCCTTCCTGTCCTATCTCTGCCTTTACAGAAGACTCTAAACAGAGCTATAATTTACTTTTTAAGATGCATTTTTAAGCTAAGTGTAGCTGAATACATAGTACTGACACACATAAAAAGGTAAATACCTCTGTCCCACACACTTCCTGCTTCATCGAGAAGTTCACAAATATGTTTCAGTTTATTATTTGTGAGCTACAGAAATGTACAGATTACACTTTGCTTATATCTGCAGTGGACACTGTTATCTAAAAAGCTACTGTCTTTCATAAGGCTTTTAGTTGCTGCTTCATAACCCTTTTTCAGTTTTGATTTTTCAGGAGAATGAGCATTCTAATACTGTGTGCAGCCTTTGTTCTATAAAAACATTTTCAGTTCTGGACATATTTTGTTATTGTCATTTATGTTCTACATTTTTATTAATTTCCACTCTTGCACTGAAATAAAACCAAATAAATATATTTAAGATTTGCACTTGCTGCCCACTCCATGCAGGGAGAGGATTTCTATTAAAAGTATGCTTGTGTAAAATTCTTACCATTTTTCTTAGAAATAATTTTACCAATAGAGTGACATCAAGTCAATGTGTGACCTATATTATAAATATTGCTTAGCCTGATATGGGCTTTTGATATCTGTTGTAGTTTCAGGTTCACTGCTTTAAAATGAAAGAAGGAATCCATTCTTTACAATAGTGAGTAAAAAAAATTAATATGGGAGGTTGGGGGAAGGAGGGGAGTCCCAATTTATTTTATAAATTATTATGACAAACTTCTGACATAATTATAATTTTTTAATTACTTTTCCCAAGCAGAAGAAGAGGAGGAAGAAGAAGTTAAAAGTGATTTGACAGCATCTGTCCAGAATAAATCTGATGAAGACAAAACAGATGATGCACCTGATCTGCCTGCTGGTACTGAGAAGTCACTGGTGCCCGCAGACCCGATGCGTAACCCCCGGCTTTCTGATTTTGGTCTTTCACAATACAGTTTCTACAGGCCTTGGAGTGCAGTGGAAGGACAACACACAACAAATGTGCATCAAGCAAATTTAAACAGGACTCCACTAAAAGCACTGATGCCCTGTACTTTGCCCAAAACACCAAAATGTAAGCTGAAGATGGATGATTATGAGTGTATAACACCGAAACTGGAACACTTTGGCATTAGTGAACATACCATGTGTATGAATGAAGATTATACAATGTCACTTATGCACAAAACTGCTCAGACAAGCAAGAAGTAAGTAAACTGCTTTATTTCAGATTGTTTCTCTACTGAATTTTCTGTAGTGCCTTCTTGCTGTATTAATTTCTTGCTGCTATTGCCCTTCTTTTTGTCTTCAAGCAGGTGATATGTCTACCAGTTGGTTAATCCTGTGTCTTTATTCAACTCTCTATGTGTCTATTGGTTTGAAGTGCCAAATGCTGATAAAACCCAACTCCTATATAGTCCTTCCCTTGACTGCACCATAATAAAAATCTTGCATACACAATCCCTTTCTAAAGGGAATGCACAGTATATCTGTGATCTTTGCTTTCCTTAACCTTGGATTTGAGGATGTCTTGTCTGCAGTAGATATTACATGGCCAATTTAAAGCTTTAAAAAGCTTTAGGAGTATAGACTCAGAAAAAAAATATAAAGCATTGAATGAAATTCCTTATTGTGGAAAGGATGTATTATCTCTTATGTTATTCAGTCCCACATTCCCCTTGCTCCAGTGTGCACATGAAAAGACAACCTCCAGATTTTCACTTCTCTAATTAAAATTAAAAAAAAAAGAATTTGCAGCAGTGAGGTGTAGAACACCTGAGCAGTGAAAGGAATTTTTTTATACTCCTGAGGTACTGTAAAGGTAGTGAGATTGTGTTTTTACAGTTAGTACTGGCAACAGGCTCAACTAGAAAAGCTGGGAGTATTTTGAAGAAACTCATTGTTCTGTAGCTAAATCCTTTGTATCTAGAGGAACTGTTCAAACAATAAGAACCATATTCAAAATAAATTGTGGAACTAATCCAACTTTCTAATCCCTGGTATTTGCCAACTTACGTGACTTTATCCGCCAAATATCCAGTTTACTGCAGTGGTTTCATTTTGGGGGGGGAATTTGGGGTTTTTGTGTTGGTTTGAGATTTGGTTGTTTGTTTTTTTTTTTGTTGTTTGGTTGTTTTTTTGTTGATTGGGTTTTTTGTTTGGTTTTTTAATTTAAAATTACTGGGGGGAAGGAGAAAGTGAAAAGATAAATTCTCTTTTAAAATAGTTTGGGGATCCTTTTAAAATAGTTTGGGGATCCTTTTAAATTGCTGTGTAAATACTATAATGTCTATAAAGCTCTATAGTATTTGAATTGGAATAGCAGGAAAACTGTTACTGAATCCTAAAATATATGAATTAAAAATAATATAATGATTTTCAATAATTTAATTCTCAAATAATACCTAAAAAAATAGGTCCAGCTTATCACACGAAGTTCTTTTGATAACTAACTTCTTGCAATTTTATACCACTTTCCCCATTTAATGAGAACTGCTTTAAATGTGATAATCAGCCTTAATCATGGCTGTAATTTATAAATGCATACAGCCACAAATGTAGATTCTATTTCTGTAGCTTCTAGTGAAACAATTAATCCACCAGAATGATTATGTATAATTTAAAAAGAATCACACTTAGCAGCCTTCCATACTCCTAATGATAATATTGAAATTCTCTAGCGAATTAGTTATAGCTTGATGGCTCTTCAACACATTATCATTAAGACCAAAACAGCGGAACATGCACTGATTGTGATGTATTCAGAATTACCTGAGAGGTCATAACATGAAGTCAGTAGAGTTAAAATGTTGTTTAACTGTATTTTGGCTTGTTTTGTTTATTTTGCAACATTATGTTAGTCAGCTTGCTGTTTGATAGAGGTTGAAACAATTCAACAACTTGTTACCTTTAGAAAGCTCTCATCTCTCAGTGAGAAGGCTTAGCATATTAAATCGGCAAACATAAACACAAAACCCAAGGTGTGGCAGGCAGGGGTTGTACCTGGCTGAAACCTGTCCAGCAGCAAAGTTCTCAAAAAAATATTTAGATGATGTGAACTCCTCCAACTTTGTTTTTCAGGTTTTGGTTTTGAAGTGGGTGAGAAGAAAAATGAACTTTGATGCACCCACTAAAAAACTGAAACCCAAAGTAGTTAGGAAAGAAAAACAGAAAGTGCCCAAACAAAAGTGTTTTATTGTTACACTTGTTTTTCTCCATTGTAAAAATTAAAACTCATATGATTTTAGGTACCCAAAATTATTCCAACGCAACACTGACTTGAAAAGTTACTACTTTTTTTTTCCCCTCAAAATCTGAGATGTGGTAATCTAAAATATACTGCCTCAAATGGATATTTTATAGGTTTTTAAGCTTAGGCTTTTTGTGGAGAAGCTCTAAACCTAGTTCTTGCAGTTAAGATAACTTTTTACACATTAAATCATTTTCTTATAGACACATTTTTATGTAGAGTTTAGGTAAGCTTCCCTTTTTGTCTGGTATTGCGTACACCCTTCTTCCACTAGAATATCTTGGCTGTGAAAAAAGAACCTTAAAAATTTCAGTTTCCAGTTTTTGTGGAATTACTGTTAACTGGCCTTTCACTCAAGTCAGCTAGTGAGTAACATAAGTAAACTTATTTCAACTTAAAATTGAATTTAAAACCTTCTAATGTTCACACTAATGTTGCTAGGTTAACAGCCAAAAAGATTTCCTCATGTTGTTTGGACTTCTGTAGGCAACAGAGAATTTAATATAAAATACTGTACCTCTAACACAGAATTGATTATCTGGATCAAAGAAAATTAGTTCTACACTGGACACCTTTTGATGGTTTGTTTTTTTTATTATTTCATTTTGGGGTGTTTTTATTGCCTTGGATTGAAATCTTACTGTGTTTGAAAATGTGTGACTGGGCTAAACATTTGCATGGTACAAATCGTTTGGTAGACTCACAGATGAAAAATTATGAAAAAATCATCTTTGAGGAAATAAATTTTTTACTTGCAGGATGATAAACATACTAGAAAAGTATCAGGTTGGCAGTATTGCTGTACTTGTGATTTCTTTGTATTACTTGAGAGCTAATAAAGGGTTTTGGTTTTCAGGTTGGTTAAAGATGATAATGAAGTGACTGTACAAGACATGACACCCAGGAAAATCATGGTCACTCCTGGGTCAAAATCAAAAGTGACAACTGAGAATGGTAAGTTAAAAAAAAGTGAAATAAATACACATATGCATTTTTTATATAATGCATATGTAAATGCATTGTAAACATATGGTAGACTTTTTAAACTGGTTTTTGTTCACTATAGTTAGTTCAGGTGCAGTCATTGTATGAGCACTAAAATCAAGAAAATGGAATGTTGCTGGCTTCTATGGGAAAGTGTCTCACTGCAGCATAAATCTTTCCTAATTCTTCTACTCACATTCATCTAGAATTATGAAGAGGGATCCATCATTTTGTAACTGCAACTTTTCCTTGTTTGAAATAAAAATACTGGTTTGCCAACTTATCCCCCCCCCCTTTAGAATACCTATTAGATCTCTTTAAAGATGGGAAAGAAACTGTTTGGAAAGAGGCTAACAAGACAGTAACTTAAATCTTTCAAGAGTAGTGCTAAAACCTCTGTGAGAGGAGATGTAATATATTCTCTTGAAAACAGAATCGTAGAATAGAATCATGGAATGGTTTGGGTTGGAAGGGACCTTAAACACCATCTAGTTTCAACCCCCAGCCGTGGGCAGGGACACCTTCCACTAGACAGGTTGTTCAAAGCCCTGTCCAGCCTGGCTTTGAACACTTCAGACAAACAGGAATAATTGAGTATGCTAGAAGCTAAAGCAATGTTGATTTAGGTTGAGCTTTTTCAGTTATCTGCTGTAGTGGCACTAGATCTAGTACTGCTTTTTACATTTTCAGCTTTTATGGAATTCTGTAACTTGGATGGTTCCTCATACTAAAAGTTAACTAAAATTACTCGGGTGTTTTAGAACATGCAAATATATGATAAGCTAGCAGACTTGGGGAACTGAAACGGGTAATGTTTATATATATTTGTGTGTATGTTATTTTTATTATCCTCCCCTTAATTTCAGCAGCTAACTGGATGGCTTCTCCTATGATGCCTGTGTTCTATACTCCTGATGTGAAAATCCCTTCCAGATCACACAGTACAGTATTATCAGGGTTACCAGAGACAAATGAACAGCTTCTTCCCAGTCATACAGAAACACCACAGTGCCCAGATTTTGAAACAAGATGGATAAAAGCAGAAGCTAAGTTCTTAAATAACAATTCTGTACATGTAAGTTCTTAAGTAACAATTCTGTACATGTAAGTTCTTAAGTAACAATTCTGTACATGTAAAGTGTGTACCACACACTTTACCATAAACGGTTTTTCAAATTTCAGTTAGGATTTCTTTCCAATACTACTTTTTCTTACATCATTGTAGATATTTCTAATGGTAACTTTGTAAGAACACTTAATAAATACTATATTTAATTAAATTAACTGAAGGCATTTAATATCTCTTTTGTAGGAGGTGAAGCAGGGGGGGAAGACTGAGTCGGTGACAAAGAATGATGCAACAGATAAACAACACAAAGAAGACAGCATTTCTTTTGCTGAGAACTCTGATGAGTATCTTAAACATTTCAGAGACCCATCTCCTCCCAAAATAAAACACTATGACCAGTTACTCAATACTCCTCCACCTCCAGAAATAACAAAGATACCAGATGATGTTCTACAGGTTAGCTGATGTACTTTTTTTTCCCCCTAAATAGCTTTAGTATCAAAATAGTAAAATTAAAGCACTTATCAAATTTTGTTCTTCAAAAAGAAAGAGTTCTCTGCTACATGTTAAAAATTCATAAATTGTAATCCTGTTTTGAGTTCTTAAATAATTATTTTTATTCCATTTTAATGTTTCCTGTAGATCCTGTGCAAGTATAGTGGTAAAGTAGACTCTAACACCAAAGAAATGGAGACCAAGACAGGAAATGCTACAAAATATGAAAGTGATGTCACAGGTTACTGCAACAAAGAGAACGGGTATGATTAGATTTTATGAATTTGCTTATGTATATTAAATTATGTATAACTTAATTTGGAGAAGCTATGAAGATGCTGTAATGCATGTAGAAATTCATGCAGCTGCTTGCTCTTCAGCTACAAAAATAGCTCTTACTGATATGACTAAATATTCTTTGCCTGGTATCTGACTGCCTTTTTGTAAAGAACAAATGTTGTAATTGACAAATACTATAATTGATTGTGTTTGAATCCTCCCATCTCAAAAAAATTAAGGTAGAGTTTTACTGTTTCATCATTTGGCATATTTTGCTTCATGGCAATCAAAGCACCAGTGAATGTTTTCTTCTGAGTAAATTTAGGCAATAAAACTGAGGAATAGGAGAAAACTATTATAAGTGACATGACCAATTTCATAGTCATTTTGGCAAAGACAAAGTTCTTTGAAATACAAAGCTGCCTTATGAACAATATGCGAGATGAATTCGTCTACAATAAGTATGAGTAATCTTTGAACAATGGAATAATAGCTTTTAAAATAACTCTATTGATTTGAGTATTTGTGACAACTCGATCAAGTGTAGCTATTCCTGATTTAATATAATGTATATTACACGTGTTGATTATTGGTTAAACTTGGGGTCAGCACAGATTATTTAGGTAAGGTGTACAGGGAACATGTATAGTGTCAAATAATAATCTCATCCCACAATGAGACAGATAAAAGTAAGTATCTTAATATGCTTGGAGTAGTCAAGTAGTCAAATAGAAGAAAGCTTGACCCTTCTTTTTTTTCCTCATCAAGATAATGAAGTTCTCAATGTTTGTGTCTTTTGGCTAATTCAAAATATGATTGAGAGAAGTTCATGAACTTTTCTGGATATATTTGCAGAGGATATCCTGGACTTCTCAAGCCAAACATCTGAAATCAAGCTGAAGACCATGCTGAGACTATTTTACATTGATGAATCTTATCACTGGATTGTAACAAGCTCAAAAAGCGGAAGAAAATACTGGTGGGAGAAAAGAGCCATATAAAGGAAAAGATTTTTTTTTTTTTTTAATGGAGAAAATCTTTATCCATGATATGGATACACTTGTTTGAGCTCACAACTTGTGCTTCATTTTTTATTGAAACTATTGGCAAAATTTATTGAAGGTTTTTACATATATGTACTTTAGTATGTTTCAAAGAGGACTAGGGTCATGTTTGAGGTAGTGTTTCAGTTCTTCTCACCTCATTCTTGTGTTTGTTGTGTGTATTTGCTTGCTGTGGGGTATACAGAAGCATAATTAGGTTCCAGTAAAGGGAAAGTCCAGTTTATTGTCCCAGACAGTGGATATCTCTGGTTGCTCCAGTAGCATCTTCAGGGCTGAGTTTGAAGTGTGTGATACTTCAGCAGTATTTGATATCTTCCACAGAAACAGGCCTTTTTTAATTGGAAAATTAAGTCCTGCTTTATTGTTTAAAGTACTTCTATGCTATTAGTCACTTCTGCAATACTAAGACATATTCCTGCATCAGTTACTGTTACTTGACAGGCATTATCTTATGCTGCTGCTTCTTTCTTAATATAGCTTTCTTACATCAGTATTGTATTAGGTGCTATGCATGTTTTCCTTTTGCCAGTATAACCTTTGTAGCCCTAAAAGGTCATGACTTCATATTCGATCAAGGTGACTCTTGTTCAAATATGAATGATTTGAAAATGTCTCGCACAATTTGTACTGGTTGCATATATCTTCAACTGCTGGGATTATTTGCTGGCAGGCATGTAGGTGATCTTCTGCTGCCACATGCATTCTGTAAGTGGTGGTGTTGCTTACATCTGTCCCTGTAATAGCTGACCAAGCTTAAGTTCTCAGAGCTGGTTGGCACTTTTGTGGTATCTGGTAGTCAATACTTAAATCTCTAGTAGAAAAAAAATCTCTATTTTTGTCCACAAGAAATCCCAGCTATGTATCCTTCTGTGGAGCCGGTTTGCTGTTTCCAGTGTCAGCTATTCCTCTGAGTGACTCCAGGACTGCTCTTATCAGCTGTATGTAGTCTTCCTGTTGATGGTGAAAATGCTGTCATTTGCATGAGGGCAGGCATGCAACACGATAAGGGAGATGAGGAGAAGAGTATGCTTTTCTGAACTTTCTGGATACAGCTCCACATTTTTAAGCCCTAGGGATATGCAGGCATCCAGAGATGCCCAAAACTATTTTTTCCAGTTGGTTAGAGGTATCCTGGTTAAAACCTAGCAAATGTGTCTTTTTCCTGCTATATAAAATCAACTGGAGAAGATGATTTTCTACTAGGTCTGGCCTGAGCATACTGTCATTTTTCCGTGCTAACTTCTGTTTAAAAAATATGTATTATTATGTGTCAGTCTTTGAGCTTGATCAACATTTTTGAATACTAAATAAATTTGATGGCTGCTATAAAAACACTTACTTGTTATACCCAACTCCTGAAGAGAGGGAAGGCCAGACCTGCTTCCAGCATCTTCACAGACTAAAACCACTGAATGGGCTGGATGCTAGTCATGGAATTTCACGGTCTGAAAACTGTACAAAGCATTCTGCTACTGAGCAAGAATCTTTGAGCCTGACAGATTTACCAGTACTAAGCAGGAGGGTTTCAGAGCCTCCATTCTCCCGGTAAGTACTTCATTGCTACTTTCTTGCCCTGAAGCCAGGCAGATAATCTGACAAGGCTCCATTTAGCATGAATCAGAACATGAGCAGCACTACTGTCCTGGACCTTGCAGTGTTTCCCTCCCCCACCACTTTCAACTAATGAAATTCCCAGAAGGTCTTCTAAATGTTTGTTTGGGGTTTTTTTCCCCTAAACTTCCCTAAACAGCTTTGGACTTCACTTTCCTTTTCTCCATTAGGGAGCTGTGGAATTGTACCCAGCAGTGCTGGAGTTCTCACCATAAACCACTGGCATAATTTTTCTTGCCTATTACACAATGTTTTCTGCTACATTTCATAGCTATTTTGTTAATATGGAAGGGATTCAGTTAATATTTTGAGATACAAATTATCTTCAAGATGACAATTGAAGTCTTAATCTTCTGGTTTACTTAAGGTATTATGCCACGATGCTGGCATGAGACTTTTTGGAATTAGATAAGAAGTTTGACTAGTTAATTTTGTTTTCCTTGCCTACAGCATTACCCTAAAACATGTAATACTGCTGTTTGTACTTGTATTATTCTTTGTAGCAGGGCCACAGCTCTGAAGTGGATATAATCAGAGTAGCAAAACAAAAATAAGTTTTAGTTTGTCTGGTTTTATCTTTGAAAATCTTTTAGATTTCAGTAGGGCCTAAGCAGTAGGTTGAGTACTGGGGATGGGGGAGGGAAAAGTTGGCACAAGTGAAAGCATAAGCAGTGTTGGAAACTGATCTGTGTTCAAACTACGCTGGGGAGGGAAAGCTGTGTGTTTTGCTTTGTCTTTGTTTTCCTTACTCATATCAGTTCTCTCCCACAGCTGGCTGTGTGGTGTGAATTCAAATACTGGAACAACTAAAGATGTAGCTATGGGGCTGAAGGAGCATAAAACTCCACTTAAGCCAGCACTACCGCTGAGGAAAGGCACTGCTCACTAATATAACACATCAAAGTGCAAATAATGCAAAAGAGCTTAGAAGTTGTACATTGGCTTGTGGGGTGAGTCTGATAACAGCTCTGGCCTGTCAGTGCAGTTTGGATAACCAGCTAAATAAATAGCAAACACAGTGGTTCTGTAAGGGACAGTTATCACCTGAAAACAGACAAAATTGACTCAGAGTATGGTTTTGTGTTGTGCTTAATTTAGTTTAACTGTTGGATGCTTCCACTCGAGGCTGTTTCACCAGTTCTCTTGCACAGAATCTAGGGGTTGGTTTGTTGAACAGAACAGAATCTAGGATGGTTGTGCAGTTTTGTGATGGATTCCTTCCATTTGCTGAGCCACTGAGAGGACAGTTAATTTTGTGTTCTCTTCTAGTTTGTCCTCCCCAACAGTAGTCTCAGACTTGGCTTCTGCCAGATATAAGGGAAGGGTGAGAACAGATCACCTGCAGTCAGGAAAGACTGAATCCAGCACAAAATTGCACTTCAGTGTTTAGGGACATCTGGGAAGGAACCAAAAAATGAATGCCTTTAGTTCTCCTTCTCTAGTTCTTAATATTTATTTTTTTTCACTTTTTCAAGTGTATCAAGTGTGTCAGCTAACAGAAGCTTCTCTCCACAATCCCCTTTGGCGTCAAAGGAGCATCTCAGTTGTTCTGTCGAACAATGGTTGTCAGTGCTTTCTTCTCTGGGAAATATTTGCCTGAGGTTAAATACAAATAAAGATCTCGCAGTGAAATGAAACTTCTTCATGGTCTTTGAGTGGATAAATGACAACCATCACTTTTAGTGCCTCCCATTGTGCATTTATTGATGTGTTTATAAGTCATTGGAGCAATAACTGGAGTCCAGGCTTATAGGATCATAGAATAGTTAGGGGTGGAAAGGACCTTAAGATCCATGGGCAGGGACATCTCACACCAAACCATGTCACCTAAGGCTCTGTCCAACCTGGCCTTGACCACTGCCAGGGATGGAGCATTCACAACTTCCCTGGGCAACCCATTCCGGTGCCTCACCACCCTTACAGTAAAAGGCTTCCTTGGTTATTTAAAGCTCCATGCATGCTTAAAATCTTCTGTATGATGTGCTATTTGCTTTGCTCCCTGTTGTCATTAATCAGATGATCCAGTATGTGTGGTGGTTTCATGTGTTCCATCAACAGCTGCAGCTGATGTTGAAGCTGCCTTGTATTCTGGGAGTCCCTTTTTTTCCTATGCAATGATAACACAGAGCTTGTAACATTTATAAGGAGCAATGACAACATCCAGTAGTCACACTATGGAATCACACGTATGTCAGGTTAGGCCACACGATGCAACTTCCAGGAAAACATCAGTAAATGCTGGCTATGTAATCTATCAATTTAAACATGATTCCTGTGCTGTCCTTACATTAATACCTGCTTTCACAAAGAGGCAGCTGGCATCAGGGTAGGGAGCTGACCAGGTCCATGAATTTCTTTGATCTTGTCTAATTCAAGTTGAAGAGCTTTAAAAAAGCCCAAATGTGCACATGTAGGTCCATGGAAGAAGAGGCTGTGCTACCCAGGCACTTCTGAGGAAAAGCCATGTGAAGGGCAGTTTGCAGAATACCCAGCAAGGTGGTTTTCAAAAGCTTTCTTTATCTTTGACACAATGTATTCCTGGCTTACAGCCCTGTAATTAAGGCCCTGTGGTTACACTGCCCAATGCTTGCTTATTCAATTGCTGTGAACCAGTCTAAGGCCTTGCTGCACAGTCCCACCTTTCCTCTTTCCCAGCTGCCAGGCCTTGCCCTCTGTTGCATCACAGAATTTTGGCTGCAGGAGAAGCCATTCCTGTAGCCCAGCTGCTGGGAACTAATGGCTGGCTTCCAAGGTTAAATTGTTCAGGGACTCTGTACTGACCTAAATCACTGATTGCCTGCAAAGGCAGGGGTGGGTGTTTAGGCAAGAGAAGGGAAGGACATCTCCTTTACTGGCAGTTTAAGCTGCTCAGAGAATGGTATCCTGTCTGTTGGGCTGCTTTGGTAAGGTTTCCTGACACTGTTGTTCCCTGAGCACTTCCACATTCCTCAGGGTCCTGTCGTGTTGGGGGAACTGATGCTGCTTTTATTTTTTTAACCCAGCTGATGTGCAATAATGTCTAGACACAAGGGCTGAGACAGCAGCAGCAGGTAATTGCTTTGGTTTCAGCATGTCCTATCATCTTAGCTGTCGCATTACTTACAGCACTGTTCTTTGACCACGGCCATAGCTGTTGTCATCTGTTTGCTCTGGGTTTCAGAGACCTTCTAATTTTTCCATACTTTCCACTGCAAGAGTGAGAACTTGCTGATAATACCTAATGCTTTCCTGTTGCATCTTGCATCATGCCCATTTCTGCTTTTGACCAGCGCTGTAAAGCAAAATTTAACCCTTCGCAACTGCTCCACTCGGTGAACACAGTGCCTGAGCAAGGAGGGTGTCTGATGTCAGTAACCTGTGCTGCAACATGTGTGTCCCAGTTGTCCTCAATGCTGAACTAGGGAGGGAATTAAGCGGGTATCAGTTCCTTCAGCAGAGACACAGGCAGCACTTCTAAAAAGCACTGCAGGAGAACTCATAAAGGGTCCTGCTGCCAATGGAGCGGCTGCTCCTGTAAGGACTGTGAAAACAGAGTCCTTTGTTTAAGGCCTGAGCATATCAAAGAGGAATCTTAACCCCCTTCCTCCTGTTAAATGAAAGCCTGGATAACAATTAAGAGCAGCTGCAATATTTATGGAAGGTGTAACAAGGTAATGGTTAGGAGGTGTTCTTTGTGTGAGAAAAAGGAAAAAAAAGGGCATTTTTTTATACACCTTTTTTTCAAGATATTAAATTGAAAATTTAACAGATGTGGTTGAGGGCAAATCTTTTTTTTTTGAGAGATGTTTATCCCAAAGCAGCTGCGGAAGAGGTTAGCTGAGGTTCCATAGCATGAGTTCCAAACGTAAGTAGTCAGGCTCCAGTATTTGCTACTGAAAGCAGCTCTGCATGTTCATTTCCTGGTGATTTTCCTTCATGGGCTACTGAATACAAAACCAGTAGCTGTTCCTCTTTTCCTCTGAAGTGTGTAAAGACCTGCCCAGTTGGAGCAGGAACAAGCCCTCACTAGGCTATGTCTCCCAATCCAGCAGAAAATAAAGCCAAGCCACCTCTCAGAGCAGCTGAGCATAGACACAGGCTTCCTTGCTGCTGTTGCTTTATGTATTGACTACATTTATTTCTGAGAATTATCCTTAAATGCAATTAAAGCAAAAACCAGGACCCAAAAATGAGGAAATGCCCATAGTCCTGTGTACCTCCTTGCCTTTGGGGAGAGGCTGTGCAGTTATCACGTGCTGGTTGCTGCAGGGCTCACCTCATTTTGCAGCACAGATGATACCCTGTGGTGACCAAGCCGCACAGCAGTGGTCTTCATTGTGTCTGCCCAGGTCTGTAAGGTGCCAGAAGCCAACGGTCATGATGCAGCAGGTTGCAGGAGGCCCAGGCCTGACCACATCTGCTCCTGATGACACAGGAGTCACTGAGCTGATATAACATGTGGGCTCCTCACAGCAGCAGTGCTGTGGAGAGTGCCCCCTCACACCAGAGGTGTCTGCCTGAACCCTGGCAAAACATCCCACCCATCCCACTTCTGGCCACACTAGACCAGTTCCACCACTGCTCAGTCCTTTAAAAAGCAGCATCTATATTGTCTTTTCTTGAGCTCTCTTTCAGAAAGGGTGGGGAGCATTTTTCAACCTCTTCCATCTTGGGAGAAAGTGTCTCAGATGCAGGCAATTCTACAACTAAGGGTCATTCATGAAGGCTGAAATCTCAACTCATTAACTGAGAAACCAGAGAAGGGGGACAGAAGAGGATGAACCACGGGCAGAACTGAACCTAAAATCCCTCAGGCTACTCTGCACAGATACCTTGTCCTCAGCAAACAAGAAACCTCAATCAGCCTCTGCTCTGCTAAGGCCTTAGGTGAAGAAGGTGAAAGCCCTAAGGAGCAGCTATGGCTTCTACTCTTGCTCTCACCTTTCCCTGAGCACATGGGCAGAACTTGCAGAAACCAAGTGCCTGGCTCTCTCTGGACTGGCCAGATGCCATTGATCAACTAGGCTCACAACCCAGGTACAGCTGAAGCCTGCTGTGCACCATGGGGTACCTGCACCTCTCCAAGATGTCCCCCTGCAGCAGCAGAAGAAACTGACAAGCACCGAGCTATGGGAAGCCACAGCCCTACCTTCCCATGTTGCACTGATTTACTGGGAGATGGGTTATCCCTTCCTTCTCCTGCTCCTCAAGAAGGCACCAGGCATTCCAGATTCCCCATGGACAAGCAAGACACCTTGGCCTTCCCTTTGTCCAGTCTTAGATTCTAGAAGCTGCTGAACTCTCCCAGCACCATCCAGCTTCATCAGTACTTTTCATCACAGAACAGCCTTGAACCTTGACACCTCACAGCTCCTTGGCTTTGTCCCTACGTAAATTGAGCAACTGGTGCTCAATACAAGCTTAAAGTGTTTGTGAAAAGCCACCTCATTGAGGGCTAAGCAGCAAGATGTACCCAGCTCAGACTGCCAGTGTAGGGTTAAAAATTATACGTATTCATTAGATACATAGAAGATAACCAACGGAAAAAGGCTACAGTACTTGCTGGAAAGCAGTTCTGGATGTCAAAACTGGGTGTTGTTTTCTTGGTTGGTGTATGCTGACAACATACTGCTTGTAGTCAACAGCCCAGGATATCCAGGTATGCGAGCAGCTGCCTCCACCCTAAGGGTTTGCTTGGCAAGGAACAACCTGGTGGTCAAAGTCAGAACTCCTACATGCACTGCCAGAGCACAGACCTGCCTCACCTCCTCACAGTTCATCTGAACTGCAGGCAAGAGCACCTCAGGGCAGAGCATTTGGCACTGTGTCTTCAATAAGAAATAGTTGTCTGTTCCTTAGTCCTCCACCCAAAATCACCAGATATCTTCTGGCCAGGCC